TGTGTGGTAAAACAAGAAGAAATGTATGGGTGTTGAAATCAATGTAGATTGAATACAACAGTGAATGATGAGCGAAAATGAAGTATTCATGATTCATTCATATAAACAGAATTACAAAACAAATAGGAAGGAAATGTGAATGGGTTGAAGAGAACGGGAGGATCAAAAAAGTCATGGCTGGATGAAGATGATATCCTCAAAAGAGAGTGAGAAGCTTAGAGCAAAACACAACTAATGAATATGGTAGAAATAAGGATAGTTAGAAAATTATGAAGAGATATAGTGAATGAAGTTGATGTGTTGCAGATTTAGCTTTCTTTTATTTTACTTTTTCAGGCCTTAATTTCTTTGGTTTACTATTTCTTATTCCTTTTTGTGTTTTGCCTAACATTGCTTACCTCTGAAGGAAATAGCCTGCTGGATATGCATGCAAGTATGTAAGGATATTTAGCTACTTTCTAACTGCAAGTTAAACAGTCAAATGGTGTGCTTCTCCCTCATCTTGGATAAATCCAGGGCAAGGATGTGGTTAAACACTCAATTACTCTGACACTTGGCAGAGAGAACTGACTCCCACATTAAAGTCTAAACAGAAATAGCTTTTGGGTCAAACTGAGGTCCAAAGGATATTTCTCCTTTGTAACCATAAATCTCTGAAAAACAAGCTTTGTAATTAACCTAGCTGACATTATCCAGTGCTACTCACTCACATGATAAAATGTACAATATGTTATTTGGATCTGATCAGACCAAACAACTGCTTTTTCTTCTCATAAATAACTTTAAAGTGTTGCTTCTTAGCAGCTTTCCAGAGACATTTTCAAAGAAAAATCCTCTGGAAATAGAGGCTCATTTCTGTAGTAGGAAGAAAAAGTATTGTGCTAGTGTTTTTATTATTATTATTATTATTATTATTATTATTATTATTATTATTATTATTCTAAAATTTCAATATTCTTTCAGGTCCTTTAAGCCAGGCATCTGTGGAATATTTTTCCTTTCTTAATCATCGAAGAAATAAAGAACATGAATGATTCTCATTATTTGGCTAAACGCTGGTGGTTTGTTCAGATATTATCACTGATGTCATGCTACAAACCTATATTACAAAAGAAAAAAATCAGGTGTTCTGTTCAAGACAGTAAATAGCTTTTCACTTTGAGAGGATCACTAGGCAGTTAGGGCTATTAAAGGCTTGTCTACAATAATCCATCTTCTGTTGGTTGTGTGGCTAATATTATAGGTACTGTACAAGTTGTTTTCAGATGCTGACTGTTTTAGAATTTAGGCAGCCTACATCATTATCGTTGAGGAATAGATCAGCATAAAAAAGGAAATGGAATTAGAGAAGAATATAGAAAGAAAGAAACGCAACTCTCCTGACTCTGAGATAAAATGCATTAGTAACAATAATAATGAGATTTATTTAATAAAAGCTGATTTAAAAAGCTTTTTAATGAAATGAAAACTATTTCTATTGAATAAATTTATTTAACAAAACATTAATGATCTACTTTTAATATTAACTCCTTTCAAAATTAATCTTTTTCTTTCTCATTCCACATAATGTCTCCTGAGATACAAGTGAGTGTGCTGTCAATGACTGCTCACCATGCTTCATCTATTCCTTGCCAGTCATTTTACTGATAAATCTCTTATTCTTGTAATTGTTTTGGTAAAAATCAATCTAATCCTGAATATGGTTTGAGGTGGATTCATTTTGTTTACTGATTTTGGAGACTATATTATTCTGTACATAAGTTTGCCAGTCTGACACATTGTATTTTTATCTTCTCCCTTCTGTCTTTCCTTTTTTAATAACTCAGCTTAACATTTTAGATAAAACTGCTTAGGCAACAGTTCAGATAACAATAAATATTACTTATTTTTTTTAAAAAAAGAGCTCTTCTTTATGTGCATATTTCTCCAATATGCTGAAAAAAATATATTAAAATTCTATGAAATAATTGTGAGAAGCAGTAGTGGCAAACAATGTGTTATTTAAATTTTAATATGATAAACATTGATAACAAAACAAAAGCTGTTTTGAAGTCCTCTGTAATTTTTGGTTGCAGTTTGGGCATTCGGTCTCTAAAAGGTTCGCCATCACTGACCTGTATCATACCTGTGCATTTAGTTTTTCTTGCTTAAATGTAGAGCCTTACTTTTTTCACCACTGAGTTTCATTTTGTTAGATAGCACCCAATCTTCAAGTCTGTCAAGATCCTTCTGTATCTTAAGCCTATCTTCTGGAGTGTTGGCTATTCCTGCCAGCTTGGTATCATCTGCAAATTTGATGAGTTCCCCATCTATCCCCTCATCCAAATCATTGATGAAGATATTGAAGAGCAGTGGGCCCAGAACAGAGCACTGGGGCATCCCACTACACACTTCCATCCATGTAGATGCAGTTCCATTGAGGGCCACACGCTGAGTTCGGCCAGTCAGCCAGCTATGAATCCATCTGGTGGTGATGCTTTCTAATCCATATTTTTCTATTTTATCAAGTAGTAGGTTGTGGTCTATTTCATCAAATGCCTTACTGAAGTCCAAGTAAATTATATCCACAGCATTCCTCTGGTCCACTAATTTTGTCACCTGGTCAAAGAATGCAATAAGATTTGTCTGGCATGATCTGTTTTTGACAAAACCATGGTGGCTTTTGATAATGACTTTGTTTGCCTCTAGGTGTTCGCTGATTCATTGCTTGATTATCTTTTCCAGAGGTATTGAGGTCAGACTGATAGGTCTGTAGTTTCCTGGATCCATTTTTTTTCTTTTTTTGAAGATGAGAACCACACCAGCTCTTTTCCAGTTCTCTGGTAGTTCCCCATGCTCCAGGATCTTTGATTAACATAAAAAATTACTGCAATAGAAAAATGTGGCAGTTGGAGGGGATGCCTATTTTTGTTAAAAAAAAAAAAAAGAGCGGGGAAAGGTGCATTCTGGCAGGATATAACTTTCTATTCAGATTCTTTGATATGATTGGTGAGATTTAAGATGGGAAAGGATGATATACCTATTTTGGAGAAAAATAGTGAGAGGATTCCTTCTCATGCAGACATCCTGATCATTAATTATATTTTTCTGTCAATCAAAAACTACATATTAAAGTACTATTTTATATATTAGCAAGCAAGTATAGATATATCATCATCACTAGTGCCGTTGTCATCTGCTGTATTCAATTTTTCTGGAAGGAACCCTGGGATTTCCAACAATTGAACTTTGCACACCGTTAGTTAGCCTGCTGTTCTGTTAATGGTTCAGCAATACATATCACTTTGAAATGGATTTGTGATGAAAAAAACATTTCTGACCAGAACTCTGTCTTAGAACATTACTAGATCTGGATCTTCCTAGAAATCTTCCAGTGCCATTGATGTATTTTTGCCATTTTGCTTCACCACATCCTCTTATTTCTGTTGTTTCAAAGATTTTTATTTTCTGAGCTAGGCACTTCTACCTGCAACAATAAGTTGTGTAATTGCATGGCTGTATTTTGCTCTAGAAGTTTGCATGTTGCGGTCCTGGACAGGACAGCAGGTTTACTAGGTAAAGGGCCCAAAATACAGGTTTGCTCTACCAAGAAGAATACCAGCCTGGTGGCAAGTAAGACATTTCCAGGTTACTTCATTTAGTTTTCATGGGCTGAAAGGGAAACTGAGGTAGGTGAGCAGGCAGGACAATCTACTCATTCCCTGACCAACAATTGAGTATTAATTGACTGGAACTTGTCTGATTATGGATTAGTTGTTGGGTTTAAGCAAACATTGCAGCCACAAGGCACAGAAATCCCTGTAGTATCTAAAATGATGAGAACATCTCAATTCTGAAATTAAAAGACTTGGGCAATGGAATTGTTGTCATATATTGCCCAGTATGATTGAACATCCATCTATAGGAACACATGCCCTGAAGTTTGTTAAAAAAATGTTTAATTAGTCCAACACATTTTTATTTATATAAAAAGGAGAAATGATGGGAACAGCAACAACAGGATACTGTAGAGAGCATTTGGGTGGGAGTAAGAGAGAATGAAGAGCACACCACTGCTGCTACTAGGAGATAACAAATTTTAGCCTGTACAATTATATCCTAAGGAAAATATTTTCCAAGCACATTATATAAAGTATGGTTTTCTTTCAGTTGTTTTTGTGGTGATGTGCTGCTCTAGTAGAACTTATTGATTTTTTTCCTTCTAAACTGTTGATTTTTTCCTTCTAAATTCAGTAAACACCAGAAATGGCTACTGTTGTCAGAAATTTTAAAATACTAATATTTTCCATGTGTATAGTATGTGATTCATTATCTTGTTATAAACCTAACTAGAATCTTGAAATAGCATTCCTACAGATGGGAGGTTGAGTGGTAGTTGTTTGTTTATGGCTACATAGTGAATTCATAGTAGAGGTAAAAGTTGAAGCAGGGACTTCTCATACACATAGATTTGGAAGAATGATGGGGGATGGGTGTTACCTTGCAATGTGTCCTGATACAGCTGGGTAGCCTGTTATATGCTCCACTCTTTTGTTTGTATTCAAACTTTTAAGTACACTTAATATATAGGAATGCTTTGTATTCTAAGCAGTGTACTTTCTTAGACACTTTTTATTTCTGGCTAACTTCAAATATGATAAGCCATAATAGAATTTTATCTTAGCTTAGAACAACTGTGAACATTATCTGTGAACCAGATCATTATAGCTTGCTCAACAAATTGGAGTTAAAATAACTTGTGCTATAATTGAACACATTCACTGTATTGCTCCTGATTAGGTGATTATCACCATTACAGGCTTTGAATTGCCTATTGGTCTAAATAATATTAAAATGCTTACTTGCATTCATTTCCAGGATAATATTGAATGGAGCTATGCATTCCTTTTGTTCTGAATTTTTTATTTGATACCACACTTATTTTGTAAAACTTTTCCTTGAAATTTTGATTTTCACTTTCTTTTCTTTTATAAAAGCATTCTGTTTCATTATATTTATAGATTCTCCAAACCAGCACCAATGTTTTTGGATGATTCCTTCAGGAAATGGGCAAAGATTCGGGATTTTCTTCCACCTTTTGGGATTAAAGGACAAGGTAGGATAACATATTAATCCACTATGATTGTGTTCTGCATATTATCTTTACAGCTTATGGACTTGTTTAATAAAGAAATTTGTAAATTTGTAATGTTTTAAATTTCTTTCTTTTGAGTAAGGTAGTGCAAAATTGTCTTAAAGAGAGCACTATTTTACATTTTCAACCTTCTGTGGCCACTTAAGAAAGGTGAGTAAGAAGGATGTTGACAATGACATAACTGGAAACAAATTTGCCTCCCATAAAGTTTAATTTATGGAAGGAACTTGAAGATAGGAAATTATTCAACATAAAATATACCAATTCAGGTGATAGTATCCTTTGTTTTAGTATTCCATAAAAATGCTGGGATGGTTCTTCATGAGATCTGCCTTATTAAACACAATGTCTAAGATAGCATTTGGTAGATAAATTCAGTCTCACAACTCTATATGTCTTCATATCACAAAACGGAGCAGAGTAGAATATAATTAAATATAAAAGTTCCATAAATTAAGTATTTTATTATTTATACAATGTTTAGTTGTATTAAAATGAGACTCACTCTTCCAGATCCTTGGACATAATTAGTCCACATTCTATAACCATGGCCAAAATATGTAGGTACCTCACCTTTTATAGATATTTGCCTTCCTACTGGAGAGGCATCCTTCCTAGAAAAGTGACAAATAGCCGCTGTGCAATTTTTTTTAATTAAAAGTACAGATGGAAACAGGATTACTCACTAACGGTAGATTTACAGGATCACTTTTCTTGTAGGGTGTAGATTATAGATCTCTGTGTGGGTTATTTTCTTTTCACTGGCAGAGTATTTTAGCCAAGAAATATCAGCATGGAGAATTGTAGTACAGGATGGCTGAAAGTCTTTGGGCAGACTTTGTTTTGTATTTCCAAGTTGCTGCCAGTTTGTGTCACCACTATAGAGGTATGTTAATCTAGGGTTTTATATTGGATTTTCTTCAGTTAAAACCAGAAACTGCTGTTTGAAATGGCTGGGAGCTGAAGCGGTGGGAGCAAAGCAAATGAATGGCTTGTTTAGTGCCCTCTTGAGACCAAACTTTATGCCAGGATTCAGTCTAAAGCAGTTTGTACTTGTGGGAGGAAAGAATTATTGTTCTCAGCAAACTAGTAGGTCTAATGACAGTGCTGAGAGACCAGAGCGTGAGTGAAGCAAATGGCACCCTTCTCACATCACACTCTCGAGCACACATCACTTGAAATTCTTGCATCAGCTTTTTTCCTTATCCCAGGGGAGGCACTGGGGATGAATTATTGTGACTTGTTGATGGGATCAAAACCTCATTAAGGATTTCAGTCAAGACTAATCTGATACTGGTTGAAACAGGATGGCAGGAGAAATGATGATGGCTGCCAGAATCAGAGCACCTGGGAGATTGAGCAACTTTCTAGAGAATGATAATCAGTTGAGCATCAGAAATCTGAAATCTGATTTGACTGAAAAATCTGGCTGTTGTCAAGGGAGATTCACAACATAGTATAAACCTTGGGAAATGCTTTGTGCAGATGTTCGGGACTTTGGGCATTTGTATCATCATGTGTTTGCTTGAAATTCAAATGAAAATTGACTGGCATAATTCTGTCAACTTGAAGGTCAGCTAGCTGTGAGTATGTGGACTGCATCATTATATTTCAGAATTCCAAACTACTATATCAGAGTAGTTTTAGAGATTTTTTTTCTCCTGTAAATAGATTTTAGAAGTCTTTATAGAAAATGGCATGCCATATCAGACTTTTAATGGAGAGATTGATGCCAGGAAAAAAGAGGCCACATAATTTCATCATCCATTTTCGGACATCAAAAGTAAATAAATAAACCCTAGTACACTTCTAAAGTTTAATATTACATATAGCACAGTTCAGCCTAAGTCTTAAATACATATACATATATAGATATTTTTCATGTGTAAACTTTTTTTCCTCTGATCTTGTGCTCCAGAATGGCATGGGAAGAGCATGTAGTATTTATGGTCTGGATGCAAACCCTCATAGGACAGAGATTTCTCATGCTTGGTTTGTTGTTGCCCAACCTCTGACTATTTAATTTTACTTATATAGTTTTCTTCTAAATTATGTTCCTGGTTTTTCCCATGCATCTTATTTTCTAAAGTGTATTCATTATGTCTTCTCTAGAGATGATGTTCTCTCTGATGTATTATTTGGAGCAATGAAGTGTACTTTGCTGTGTACTTCATTGCTTTCCATTCCCCAAATTGATCCAGATAATGGGGATGTTTGCAACTAGACATTGCCATTGTGTTTATTAAACTTACATATGAAAAATATACTGGGATTCTTTATTGTGTAAATTTTCTGGGATTAAGATGATTTGGTCAAAGATATGGACAGCAGCTATAGTTCAACAACCAAAAAGAAATTACTCAACTTGATATTAATAATATCAATATAATATTAAATCTGAATTTTAATTACTACCATAAGAGCCGTGGTGATACAGTGGCTAGAATGCAGTACTGCAGGCTAACTCACTGCTTACTCCAGGAGTTCGATTTTGAGCAGCTCAAAAGTTGACTCAGCCTTCCATCCTTCCGAGGTTGGTAAAATGAGGACCCAGATTGCTGGAAGCAATATGCTGACTCTATAAACCTCTTAGAGAGGCCTGTAAAGCACTATGAAGTGGTTTATAAGTCTAAGAGCTATTACTACCTAGGAACAGTCTTCAAATGTTTGCCTTTTGAGGCCTCCTTTTGATAATTTTGACATTGTACGAATTTTCTCCTCAAGATATATACAGGTAGTTGTTTAATAACCACAGTTGGGACCAGAATTTCTGTTACTAAGCAAGGTGGTTGTTAAGTGAGTCACACCCAATGTAATGATCTTTTGCCATTGTTAAGAGAATTACTGAAGTTGTTAAGTGAATTATGCAGTCATTAAGTGAATCCAGCTTCTCCCATTGACTTTGCTTTGACAGAAGCCAGCTGGGAAGGTTGCAAAGGCAATTACATAACCCTGGGACACTGGAAACATTATAAATACATGCCAGTTGCCAAGCACCCAAATTTTGATCATGTGATCAAGGGGATGCTGCTACAGTTGTAACTATGAGGACCAGTTGTAAATTATTTATTTTCAATGCCGTTGTAATTTCAAATGGTCACTAAATGAATGGTTCTAAGTTGTGGACTATTGTTAAAAAAAGTGATCTCTGAGGAAATGGTGTGATTTTGTTATGGTAGAAATATTAATAAACAGACTCATCCAATTCAGTATCCTCCAAAAATGTTACAATAGCAATTACAGGAGTAGGAGTAGAAGTCTCAAGTTTCCAGATGTAGGAAGATGGCCTATATGCCAACAAAAAGTGTGCGCTGCGCTGTGTGTTTTATTATATTCTAAGTATCTCGTTAAGGGGATATATTTAGCCTTGCATGTTCCAGAACTGGGAAAATCAAGAGCCATTTTTCACTGCTTGTTTTCTATGAATTTTTATATTTAGATCTTGACTCAAGGCTGACCTTGAAATTTGTGATGTTCTGGGAAAGGGGTAAATATTAGAGAAAAGGCAAGCAATGACCACACAGAAAGCAAAGTCTTTCTCTGTTTCTGAAGTGTAAGTGTAGAGAGTTTCTCCATGATATGTAAACATTTGTTTCTGCTCATTATGTTCTAACTTTCTATTCTATGTTTGAGAGAAATATCCTTATTTACCCTTCTGCCCTCAAAAGTCACTGTGATGTTTCTGACAAATTTGTACTCCTCTTGGCTTTTAACATTATTTCTTCCCATCCTTTTCTGGCTCTGTTTACAGAGGCATGGGGATTTGAGTAATTGAGCCCACACTATTGGTGAATAGTATGCTTGGGAGCCCCTTTGTATTAATGTGATGGAACGGTTTTATTTATTTATTAATTATATACATGCATTTCAATTATTTTTTTTGCCATCCAGAACCAAACTTGTAATATAAGCTGTCATATAAATTGATATATGCAAAAATAAATACGCCTGCTATGGGAATGAAAATGATGCTGGCATTATCATTTGTTTTCAGTGTTCACATACCAATTAGTTTTTCTACATTCAATAACAATGTGATCTTTGTTCATCTCTCATTTCTTTTATTATATGATATTCTCCCCCCTTTCTGTTTTTCTAAGGAAGAATTATGCAGCTAAGATCATTCTGTGAAGTATTTGCATCCACATCATATAATGAGAGCAAGCTCACATACTGTTAATGTACAAGATTAAAGAGCTCTTGGCCTAAGTCAAGTGCATTAGGATGTATTAAAGGTTAGTGTTATTGTGACTTGAAATTTCATTAATACTGATTGGAACTTCCCTAGAGAAAAGAGAGTATTCTAAAAATGTCACTCATGGAGCTGAAGGAAAATAAATACAACTCATTTATGCAAGAATTTCTCTTCTTTTAATTATAATAAAACTTTTAGATGAAGTCATCATTGTATAATAATAATAATAATAAAAGATAATAAAAGCACAGTCTAGCACAATACCAACAAAGAGGAAAAATAACAGCTCTCAAAAGAAACCAGCATGGCTGCATAAAGAACTCTCTGACAAATTGAAAGATAAAAAGGACAAGTATAGAAAGTGGAAAGAGGGGAACATAACTAAGTCAGAATATCAGCAAATAGCCCGAGCCTGCAAAGATGAAGTGAAGAAAGCCAAGGCTCAAAATGAACTAGGCTTGCGACCAAAGTCAAAAATAACAAAAAAAGCTTCTTTCAACATGTAAAAAACAAGAAAAAAGTGAAGGAAATGATTGGTCCATTAGTGGGTGGAAGTGGCAAGAAGGTGACAAGCAACAGGGAGAAAGCAGAACTATTTAACTCATTTTTTGCATCTGTCTTTACACAAAGGGAAAAAACAGACCAACCTATCAAAAATAGTGCCACAAAAAACAAAACAGAAACACAAGTTAAGATAGGCAAGAAAATCGTTAGTGAGCACCTGTCCAGCCTAGATGAGTTCAAATCGCCAGGACCAGACGGATTA